TGACATATCTTTGTTGTATCTATCTACTCAAAGTCACCTTGGGTAATTTCAAGTTAATGCTAAATAAAGAAGCACTGGAAATGGTAACATTGACCATTAAAGAGGGGGATTTTTGCTTGGTCACTTTTAGAGACCAAATCTCTGTTGCCTCCCCACCTTCAGCCCCTCCATCTCTCCAAGGGTGTAATGCTGGGGCTGCCTTGCAAAGCTCAACAAAGAAGCAAAAAAAAACCCCACTGTCCCAGCGCCCTTCCAAAAAAAACCCATGGACTCATTTGATTTTATACTGGTTTTATAAAACACAACAGATGTGCCAAGGGTACGAGTGGATCAGAACAGACTGAACCCTGTAAGTGGGTAGAAACCTGGTGTCCTGATGAGCTCACAGCATGCACACACAAACATCCCTAACACACTGGTCCATCATTCGTAAGCAACGAGAAGCAGATGTTACAGGCAAAGGGTGTCAGCATTGTTTGGTTTCACAAGAGGTGTGATTAGAGAAGGTACTTGAAGGAGGAGAGAATAATCACTTGGCATGCAAACATGAGAGGCAAATCCAAGCGCAGAGGGCTTGGTGTATTGTTGTGGAAAGCACGCTGATGGGTATGTGGTTGAAGAACACAGACGTACAGGACCAGACAATGGAAATTTTTTCCTTTTTCTTTGACACTTCGCTGAAAATAAAACAGTGACAAAAAGGTTAACATGTGGTTATAGAATTTCAGCTATTATATGAGCCCTGTAGCTTATTTCAAAAAGAGTATAAACCACGAAACCATTTTATGATTTATACAAAAGAGGTGAGAAATGTTCCATTTTTCTGTTACTGGTATACATTTTTTTATTTTTTTTTTTTCTATCTGGAGCTGGTTAGATAACAGTAAGTCTAATAATGTTTTATCTGATTCTCCTAAACATGCAATTAAAGTACATTAGTACCAGCATACTAGTTTATGTTCATTATTAAATGTAAAAATCTAAGAACTCTACATTAATGGAACATAAAATTTGAGATTTTAGTTACACAGAAGTCAGGGAATTCAGATGGATGGTTCCCATAGCAACCTATCTCTTCCTCTTTGTGTTTTTCAATTCACTAGAACCTTTCATTACTTGATTGCCCCATACATTGTATCATGCAATTTCATCATAAAATTTCATCATTATATAACTGTGCAAAAGAAGCGAGTGAAGGTTGTCTTCACTCAACACTTTCTAACTTTAATGTTTCTGTTGCACAGAGAGCAAACCAATGCTTAAACCAATCAAGCCCGTGTTCTAAACAGTTTCTGCTTTTCGGGGGGACCTCCATAAATTTGGCTGGGTTCTTTGGAATGGCTGTAAATAATAAAGCAGCTGAGCACAATAGCATATCATTCCTTTGTAATTGGCTATTGTCTCCCTTGCCACGTAGATATGTGGCTCCAGTGAGAAAAAAAAAAAGAGACCAAACCATTTGTGGGTAAAAGATTTCTCCCATCCAGATACAGGAAATAAAGTGATAGTGGAAAATGGAGGGCACTTGTGGTTTTTGTCTTCTGAGACTGGAATATAATTTACCAAATTACAACTCTGTGGATTGTCATGGTCACTAGTGGGGTTATCAGTTAGAGGCCATTGTGGTGCCTTCCAGACAACAGAAGAGATACAGGAATTTGTAGAAGTAGGCCTGTAATTCTGAATTCTATCCTGTGAGATCTGATTGCAGACGAAGAGCCAACGAGGTCGCAATTGTCATTACACTAACGAGGATTAACCTTGCAATAGTTAGGTCTTTGTTGCAGAGGACATCGAAATGGAACAGACAGAGTGGGCTGGTCTGAACCTTTTGGGGACCTGGAGTGCAGTGGGGAGCAGTTCCACAGCACATGAACATATTCAGAAAAAAAGGAGGTACCCCCTACAAAGATGAACAAACTAAAAGCATAAAATAATAATAATTTCTAACCTTCTCTGCTCTTCCTGTTAAAGAAATGCGAAAAGAGGAGCCTATAACACTGCAGAGACAGAGACTGGATCAGGAAAATGAAAGGCTTTTCCTCCACAAGTGCCTTCAAATTGCGATGATTTCCATTGCCTCGATAAAATCAGACCTGGCTGTTAGTGCCATATTTTCTTTTGTGTTTTTGTAGTGATGATAAATTTTGCATGAAATGAAAGTAAATAGTTGTTTATACTTCATTTTGCAGCAGCCAGTATGCCACTAAGTCAGCACTTCTCCTCTGAGATTTATAGAGCAGGATTTAGGCTAAATTGCTGGCATATGAGATTTCAGCCAAAGGTTGTTTTCCTTTAACCATTTTGTTTTTCAAATGCCTTGGCTGATTTTAGGTTGTTGGAATCCAATGTAATTGCTTGTTTGATTGCTTGGAAGAAGTGGAGCTTCCGTAGTTCAAAAATGGCTTATTTTCTTTAAAAATAACTGAAATCTGGCTTGGGGTTCTCTAGAATGCAATGCACTATACAATTGTGTAATTTTAACCTCTTAAAAATTCCCTGAATAGTCATTAAATCTTTGGAAACTAGCTAATCTCCAGGAGGATGCGATAGGTCTGGCTGTCTTCCAGGGTTTGCTAGAGGCTGTGATGGCTTAACATGTTAAGAAAAATGGTTTCTAAATCACTGCAGGGCTGGGTCAAAGACTCTATCCTGCTGA